CCCCAAAACCCCAAAACCCCATCATCAGATATTGAGATTTAATATTTATATCATTTATATGGGATATATAGAAAGCTAAATTTATATATAAATTATAACTATATCAAATGGATGATAATTTTGTAAACACTACCGCTACTATCTCTAATAATTTGATCAAATAGCCCACAATAGTTTAACCGAAGTAACCACTTAATCTGAAAAAGCAATTTACATTGATTTAAGAGGAAGTCGATCAAGAAATTGAGATTAATTCTGCCAAGTTAGATAAAAATAAATCAAGGAACAAAGCAAACAAAATCATTCAAAAATAGCGATACCAAACTCTTGAAAACGGAATGAAAAAAGTAGAAAGTCTTTTCAAAGAAATAGATTATATCATGTAAAATTAAAGTCAGCATAAGCCTTATGAGAATTTGTAAAATAAGTCAAAATAACTCATGAATTTTTGCAGCCCAGTTTATAAAAAGCAAAAGAGAGAATTCGAACATAAGAATAGAAAAGGGTATATGAGTTTAGTTAGTAAGATAAAAGAAAGTTCTCAACTTGTATCTTAAGTAAAGACTGGTAAAAGTTTATTTGAAAATACCAACGTCACTGATTATCACATACCTGTATTCAAAGAGTAAAGGCTTAAAACTGACTTATAAGACTTGATAAATAAGAGCTAAGATGAGATAAGTGTTAAAGCCAATAAGTAAAATTTGCAACTGATGGAATGTCTATCACCCTAGAAGCTGCTTAAAAAGAAAATGGAAGAGATCAAACTGAAAAGTAATAGTAGCATTATTGATAATGGTCTTGGAGGATTTGGAACTTATGCTACTTAAATGTCAAATCATTATTCTATCAATATTAGTAAAAATCTGCAGATGTCTGATATTTCCTTATAAAAAGTTTAGGAAAAGAAGTCAACATAAATTTTACCAAGTATTACAATTAATCGCAGAAAAAGTAGTATGGGTGTCAACTCAACAGCAACTAAATCAGTAGTTGGTTATGAATAGGTGGAAGATTATCAAAGTAAACCTTATTCCAAAAAAATTGAAGAGCTTAAGAACATAAAAAAAACCTTTGATTTTCCAAATAATCCAGCCTATCTATTTAAAAATCAAAGGAATAATAAAAAATTGAAGTATCTCTCAGATTATTGCAGAGAGAATCAGATAGCAATGAGCAAAAATGAAGAAATTATAATGAATCTTGATCTATCTAAACTGCAACATAGAATCTGGAAACATTCCGTCTCTGAGTTATACGACTATAAGAAAAATATAAAGCCGGATGAGGACTAACTAATTGAAGACTTTGAAAATTATGGGAAGGAAAAACCTCCCAAGAAATCTCAACTATCAATGACAATTGATTCTTCATCAATTCTAGACCAGCCAAGATAAAGTATACATAACTATAATAAAAATTGGGAACAAAATGTGAAATCAATACTCAGGAAAAAGACTATTAGAGGCTCTAATTAAGGCAGTCTTAAAAGTAGTAACAGAAATTCTGTATAGTCTTCAGCAAGTAATGCAAGTTAAAGCAAAAGTAATTCCAAAAATAATTCCTACTACAGCAGATCAATAATGAGGCAATCAAAGTTTGCTGATAAATTAACATAAATATAAAATAATAAGAAAGCAATAGAATAAAAGAGAGTTTAAGATTTCTTCCAACTTGAATAAAAAAGAAATCAAAGGCTAAACTTGCTTAAGTAATAGCTTGAGAATCCCTATCTTCTTAGATAGGCTAAGATTAAAAAAGTTAGAAGTAACTCGAAAAGACTCAGTAATGCATCATCAGAAGATCTAGATACATTATCTAGTAGTGAAGATGAAAGGAGAAAAAAGTAGTCTCAGTCAGTATTAGATATCTAAAATAAGAAAAAACTAAGAAGAAAGCCTATTTACAAGTTAATAACTGCTACTTAATCTATTAAAAAGGGCAAAAATAAGATTAACAGTAACTTGATAAAGCTGATTTAGAGACTAGATCTGGATAGGCCTCTAATGCTTAGAGAGAAGCTAGATATTATTTGGAAGACTAAGCCTAAAAATTAAATGTCTTCAATATCTCTTGGTATACAAGAGATAAATTTGACATAGAATTTTGGAGAAAATCAAAAAAGTATTTAAAACTTAGGCAACGCTTCTAGAATGGAAATACCTAATTTTAGTAAGGATAAGGATAATTTGCCAGTAAATAACAGAAATTCTACGATATCAATTGTTAATCAGAACAACAGCTTCAATCAAAGAAATTAAAGCATTAGTGCTATATCTAAGACAGCTACAAACAAGGATAGTGAAGAGTATGAGAGTCTGAATCTAAGAGTTGAACTAGAAAAGAAGAAAATGGAAAGAATGAGCTTGAATAATTAGTAAAGAGAAGCATACAACAAATTATTGCATTTCTTAGAAAAGCGTAGTAAGGCGATATAGCCTGAGGAAAAACAATTTATGAATATCATAAAAATTGTTATTGACGGAGGATGGGTAATAAGAGAATAAGAGTTCGAACAAATATTAGGCTTCATAGATTTCAAGCAAGATTTAAAAGATCTCAATGAGAAATAGTTAAAGCTTTATAATAAAGAATTTATCTCATTCTTTGAAAATGCTATTGAGGAACTTAGATTTAATAGGGAATATTTACAATACATAAAAAATTTAAAAGGACTTGAATGATTTCTTTGATAAATAGATATCATAATTTATAGGCGTTTGATAGCTATTAAATGAAATAACGACTAACAAAGATGAAGAATTTATTAAGCTTATTTAATCTTAATTTCATCATGAATATTCAAAATTTGATTACTTATTACTGGTTAAATTATATGTTTTGCCTAATGGGGTTTTGGGGTTTTGGGGTTTTGGGG